TAAGAGTCAATTGATAAAGGGTTATTAGCTGTAATGTTTTGGATACAAAAATGGGAAATAATTTCATTGCCCATCTGTTTTATGAGGCATATCATTTGATAAAGAGGAAAAGAGATTGACAAGTTGGGATATTATATAATTTTAGATTCGTCTTTAGTTTGACACTGACAGTGGTATGATATATTGTAAACTAAAGGCGTTATAACCACTTCATTCTTTAATCTATGTTTATCCTGGATTAATTACGAGAAAACTGTCAAAAACATTCTCTGTTCTATATCGATTAATGCACCACTTGTACAATCAATGATGCAATTTTCAGTGCTAAGGTATTTTTAATGGGTGTTGATATTTATATTACTAACACCCAGCACTTTATTTCTGACATCTGGTGGATATCTAACATCTACAAGTTAGCCAATCTGATCAATACAAACTGACCTGGTTTTAGACTGCACAGAATTGTTCTAAATACATAATAGAATGTCGTCTTTTCGAAATATTCTTTTTAGTAGATAATTTCAATATCTTAAATGATTGTTCGACGCTTTTTAAGCGTAAGTGGTAATTAAGTCGGTCCAATACACAACGAAAAAGGGGAAAGAATTTGTAGCTATGACACTGGTGAATAGTTCCAGTACATTCTTGTGTATTGTGCACATTGAAAAATAAATGGGGAATGTGTCCATGGGACACAGATGATGCCCCCGCTTGCATATAATGTTATAAAGGGACATAACTCAAGAACTGTAAAAGTGACGCTACCAAAATTTGTACTTGATCAGAGTTTTGTGGTAATTAGCATTGTGTTTACGTTTCATAACATTTAGTTGAGACAAACTTAAGTTAGAGAACCGAAACAAAAAATTCAGCATTTTTTTCCATTTGTAAAGGGGCTTAACTCAAGAACGGTAAAAGTGACGCCACCCAATTTCGAACTTGATCTGTGTTTTGTGGTAATAAGCATTGTGTATAACTTATATATAAAGTTTCATAACATTTGGTTGAGGCAAACTAAAGTTAGAGAACGGAAACTAAAAATTTAGCAATTTTTCCATTTGTAAAGGACAGAACTCTAGAACGGTAAAAGTGAAACCACCAAAATTCAGACTTGGTCTGTGTTTTAAGGTAATAAGCATTGTGTATAAGTTTCATAACATTTGGTTGAGGCAAACTAAAGTTAAGAGATATAGGAAGATGTGGCATGAGTGCCAATGAGACAACTCTCCATCCAAGTTACAATTTATAAAAGTAAACCATTATAGGTCAAGGTAAGGCCTTCAACACGGAGCATTGGCTCACACCGAACAGCAAGCTATAAAGGGCCCCAAAAAATTACTAGTAGAAAACCATTCAAACGGAAAAACCAACGGTCTAATCTATATAAAAACGAGAAACGAGAAACACGTATGAAATACATAAACAGACGACAACTACTGTAATCAGATTTCTGACTTAGGCCAGGCGCAAACATTTGCAGCGGGATCAAACGTTTTAATAGTACCAAACCTTCTCCCTTTTCTGAAACAATAGTATAACATCACAACATAGAAAAACACACTATAAAATATCAATTGGAAGGCTTAACTCAATCAAAAAACGTAAATTAACACACAATGAACGAATAAATTTGACCTGTGACACCTGAATGCAACTACACAGTTAATAAAAAATTACAAGGGATAAATAATTAAAGTCAAAAGTAAATAAACAGGTTTAAACAAAATTAAAGTATGATATAACTGTGAAATTTCAAACAATATTTAGAGAAAATCATCACTGGTAATAAGCATTGTGTATAAGTTTCATTACATTTGGTTGAGGCAAACTAAAGTTAAGAGAACGGAAACGATAGATTTAGCAATTTTTCCATTTATAAAGGAGCGTAACTCAAGAACGGTAAAAGTGACGCCACCCAATTTCGAAGTTGATCTGTGTTTTATGGTAATAAGCATTGTGTATAAGTTTCATAATATTTGGTTGAGGCAGACTAAAGTTAGAGAACGGAAACCAATTTTGGGACGTACGTACGTACAGACGGACAAGGGTAAAACTTAATACCCTCTCCGCTACGGCGGGGGCATAAAAACTAAAATAGTTCCGTATAACAGATAAATAGGCAGCCATTTGTTCTACGTGAAACTGAAAATATGTTCATTGGAAATAAATAACGTCTTATACATTTTATGTATTTTTTATGATAAACAAGCTAGGATATTTTAAATACATTGATATTGATTGTCATTAATATCCAATGTGATGTTTTATACATCTCTTCCTTGTACGTATTTATGTGACGATAAAAATTAGGAATGCGAGATATAGTACCATGATGTGTGATAGCTCTACACTCTTGAATCTGTTTTTAAACATGCTACTAAGTGATTAGGTAACCGTCTGTATGATAAAGTGTCACCCCCTAAGACACATTCATGTGACTCCGTGCCAACCAATCTTTTCATACTCCTAACTGTTGCATGTTTAACGAAGAAACCTACAATACAATGTACTTAAATTTGACCCGGTAGGGCATTGTACCAACTACCCAAAGCACTCGCGGCAAGCACGCCTACATAATTACGAGTTGTAACTGTATTATATGTAATTGGAAAAAACAGTCTTGGGTTGCAGTCTCATTCACCTATACCCCCGCTTATGAATTATCTTTTATCACCGCTAGAATACTATACCACTAGTATACTTATCTTCCGTTAAAAAAAAAGTTTATGTCGTCCCGAATTTAATACGTATCTAATGACTTTTTTTTTTGGAGAAAATAGCATGTAAAACCACTGTAATCTTAAATACTTCGTCATTCATTTTATATTGGCAACAGGTTTTCTATACATATTTAAGCAAACTGAACGTGAAACATTTTGCAAGCTTAATTAGCTAACTTTTACACATTTAGAATAATACTTATTCATTGATACAATGGACGTTAGTTTTTGTGCATCTACAATTATAAAATGACGAGGGATTTATTGTTTCTCTGGATAATTGCTCTTCGTATTTCGATTGTAGTTTCAGTTGTGAATAAGGTAACGATTCAGTGTGAGTTTAGAAAAGACGATAACTTATGGAGCTGCAAGTGTTCAGACAAGGATATAGGAATGGCTGTCGAAAAGTTAGATGGAACAATGCTAATTTGTAATAAAAATGCTAATCTTGAATTCGTTAAAATTCCATTGACTACAATAGAACACAATGCTAAACACAAGGTAGTTCCGAAAGGTTCGCAGAAAAAATCACATAAAAAGAAGAATAGAATTTCTCAGGTGCAAAATACAACCATAACAGCTAATGTTAAACCGACAAAAGACAAAAATAAAAAAAATAAAAATAAAAGTAAGCATTTAATAGAAGTGACGGAATCTACAACTGGAATACTAGACAACCTATTTTCAAGAATTTTAAATGGCTATGATGCTAAAATGGTAAATGGATATAATGCTAAAAAGGTAATTCAACAGTCCAAGACTTGTTCGGTGTTTGATCGGAATCTAAAACCTGGAGAAACCATGAAGAGGTTAGGTTGTACATATGTTTGTGACAATGGAGTCTTTAAGAAACGTGACTGTTACGGAAAAAGGGTTTTATTATTACATGGTACACGTGACAAATATCTTGGTTAGATTGTTTAAATGATCTTTTTTTCAACTGCGTATTTCTTCGATTTATACATTTGTAGTTTTGGTTTAACAAAATTAATCAGAAGTTCCGTAAAAACACGCATTTGTTTCTAAAACAATATAAATCAAGATACTGGATGCTTCAAGTTATTCTTGGCAATATGTAATCAGATGGATTGATTGATAGTGTATACGATTATCTTTGTTACAGTACGATTAACGTAATTATACTTTGATTTACTTTAAAAATGAGAAGGTCTGGTATGATTGCCAATGAAGCAACTCTCCGCCTTTATTATTTTGATTCGCACAACTTTCACAGTAAAAGTCAACTATGTTATTTATTTTGTATTTATATTGTATCATAGATCAAATTTATTTGTTCAGTGTATGTTCACTGGTATTAATATGTCTTTTGATTGAGTTAAGCCATTTCAATTGATATTTTATAGTGTGTCTTTCTATGTTGTGATGTTACACTATTGTTTCAGATAAGGGTGAATGTTTGGTACCATTAAAACGTTTAAACCCGCTGCAATTGTTTGCGCCTGTCCTAAGTCAGGAATCTGATGTTCAGTAGTTGTCGTTTGTTGATGTGGTTCATAAGTGTTTCTCGTTTCTCGTTTTTTATATAGATTAGACCGTTGGTTTTCCCGTTTGAATGGTTTTACACTAGTAATCTTTAGGGCCCTTTATAGCTTGCTGTTCGGTGTGAGCCAAGGCTCCGTGTTGAAGACCGTACTTTGACCTATAATGGTTTACTTTTATAAATTTTGACTTGGATGGAGAGTTGTCTCATTGGCACTCATACCACATCTTCTTATATCTGCAGTCTGTATAAGAAGATAATGTCTATTACACGGTTTTGTTAAACAACAAATGAAAAACTTTTAATATTTTGTACAAATATATATAACCTATATAATTTTGACTTTTCAAAACATTCTGGAGAAATTCATTATCCTGCACTTGTTATCAATATATATGCAAAATAAAAAGTATATGATTCATTCAGTTTTGTAATCTGTTTCCTTTTCAAACATAGTAAATTTCGTTCGTAAAGTTGTATTACCAGTTTCCAACCGTCAATCAAGCATGATAACGAATGATACCGATTTCAGTGCACAAAGTTTACTATTGGAATAACCTCCATCAGGTACGCTTGAGACCAAGCATTTTGGAAGCCATCGACATAAAACATTATGATAAACATTTCTTACTCCGAAAAAGTGGTCACGTAGTTATATGCGACATCGCCACTGTATCGGAGGTTGAAAACGTTCATCAGCGAATGTGTTTGTCCTTGTTTTTTCTGTGTTTTTTTCCAAAATTTTATTAGAACGTGAAGAAACAACAAAAACAATGAGGTAATAAAACTAAAAATTTAATATAAAAAAAATATAATCAAAATTGAAAACAATAGTAGTTTGGATAATTATAAATTAAAGGATTGTGGTTTACACATTAAATGTCCTATATGAAAAAGGGACAAACTAAGAGCATGCACGGCTAGCCAGTGAGCGGTTGATCGATCGTTTGTATTTTTGTCACGTGACAACGAGTTCGGCAGGTACTGTTTCTACGTTAGAGAGACGTAGGCAGTGTTTTTTTCGCAATTATGAGGCCAATGATCCAACACCAAAACCATGAGGACCAAAGTTCTTTGCATAACATCCTGTAAAAAAATGAAATTTGCAGTTAACAACTCGTAGGCAAAGATGCACTTAACAATACTTCGTCTCTTAGTTGCACGATATATTCATTGATTGTTGTTTAAAGGGGGACAATTTGAATTTGATAAAATTATCTAAGATAATCGGGAAAATTTGAAAAATTGTTTAATTAAATGGTAATTACACAATAGGATTTGTGTAGAAATTAATAGCTTTTATTTCCCATATTCAAAAAGTGTTCGGTAACATTGAATCTTTATCTTCATAAGTATGCATATGTGCCAATAAAATATTTGTATTTGTATGAAATTTTGTTCATTAAAGGCTTTACCTTTGCAGTAGATTTCTATCTCGTGTCTACATAGTGTTGTAGAATCTACAGGCTTGTTACACATCTTACATTTACTGCAACCTTTATGCCAAGCCTAAAATAAACATAAAAGGTATGTACATGACCTACACAGGTGACGAGTTACACTCCTTACATTTACTGCAACCTTTATGCCAAGCCTAAAATAAACAAACAAGGAATGTACATGACCTACACAGATGACGAGTTAAACTCCTTACATTTACTGCAACCTTTATGCCAAGCCTAAAACAAGCAAACAAGGAATGTACATGACCTACACAGGTGACGAGTTACACTCTTTACATTTAATGCAACCTTTATGCCAAGCCTAAAATAAACATAAAAGGTATGTATATGACCTACACAGGTGACGAGTTAAACTCCTTACATTTACTGCAACCTTTATGCCAAGCCTAAAATAAACAAACAAGGAATGTACATGACCTACACAGATGACGAGTTAAACTCCTTACATTTACTGCAACCTTTATGCCAAGCCTAAAACAAGCAAACAAGGAATGTACATGACCTACACAGGTGACGAGTTACACTCTTTACATTTAATGCAACCTTTATGCCAAGCCTAAAATAAACATAAAAGGTATGTACATGACCTACACAGGTGACGAGTTAAACTCCTTACATTTACTGCAACCTTTATGCCAAGCCTAAAATAAACAAACAAGGAATGTACATGACCTACACAGATGACGAGTTAAACTCCTTACATATACTGCAACCTTTATGCCAAGCCTAAAACAAGCAAACAAGGAATGTACATGACCTACACAGGTGACGAGTTACACTCTTTACATTTAATGCAACCTTTATGCCAAGCCTAAAATAAACATAAAAGGTATGTACATGACCTACACAGGTGACGAGTTAAACTCCTTACATTTACTGCAATCTTTATGCCAAGCCTAAAATAAACAAACAAGGAATGTACATGACCTACACAGATGACGAGTTAAACTCCTTACATATACTGCAACCTTTATGCCAAGCCTAAAACAAGCAAACAAGGAATGTACATGACCTACACAGGTGACGAGTTACACTCTTTACATTTAATGCAACCTTTATGCCAAGCCTAAAATAAACATAAAAGGTATGTACATGACCTACACAGGTGACGAGTTAAACTCCTTACATTTACTGCAACCTTTATGCCAAGCCTAAAATAAACATAAAAGGTATGTACATGACCTACACAGGTGACGAGTTAAACTCCTTACATTTACTGCAATCTTTATGCCAAGCCTAAAATAAACAAACAAGGAATGTACATGACCTACACAGATGACGAGTTAAACTCCTTACATTTACTGCAACCTTTATGCCAAGCCTAAAACAAGCAAACAAGGAATGTACATGACCTACACAGGTGGCGAGTTAAACTCCTTACATTTACTGTAACCTTTATGCCAAGCCTAAAACAAGCAAACAAGGAATGTACATGACCTACACAGGTGACGAGTTAAACTCCTTACATTTACTGCAACCTTTATGCCAAGCCTAAAACAAACAAACAAGGAATGTACATGATCTACACATGTTATTGATCGTCATACTCTGCTAAAATGTGACAGAAAAATGATGTTAATAATTGCGAAAGTTATCTCTTTCTTTAACGTTTCAAACAATACAAAAACTGATGGGTAGGCAACAACTTAACAATTGTAAGTTCAGAAAAGTTTACACACAACTATCTAGATTTAAATCAGTTCACCATGATTTCGTTTTGTTGGTTAACTAAGTCGAGCGTTTGGTTTTGTCAGGCATTTTTGTCAATACTTTTTCAATATGCTATACTAAAGTCTGGTCCAGATCATTTAATTTAAACAAATAAACGAAGTAAACAAACTCAAACTAAAATTGAAACTGAACTGAGTTTGAAACAATCGCCTAAGATTTACTGCAAAAAGTAAAATAACAAAAATACCGAACTCCGAGGAAAATTCTAAACGGAAAGCACAGCACTTGTCTCAGAATTTTATTTTCATATATGTAACACTCCCAAACGTGTCCATCCCCCCAAACGTGTCCGATTCCCCCAAACGTGTCCATTCTCCCCAAACGTGTCCGTTATATTCAATATTGCCCAAACGTGTCCGATAATTGTTATTCGCCAAAACGTGTCCACTATTAAACGCCAGAACGTCTCACGTCTTTTAGCGCTAATACATGTATGTTCCTAATGAAATCAATAACGTGAACGGCAATTCTATGATGGGGGAGACAGTTGATGCAGTGGTCATTTATTAGCATTAGTTTGTATAATTGCAAATTTAATCTGTAACATATGAATTAACTTTTGACTGAAATTGCTTATTGTCCAGTTGCAAGTATTTCATGCTCAATAAGATCGAACATACATATCCTAGTACAGTTGAATTAATTGTTTACTGTGTAAATTATTTTGTACTAATAAACTTCGATGATGCCTTTTATATTAATCCGAATATTGCACGGCGGGCTTTCACCAGAATTGACTTCCCTTTTTTCAACAGGTCTGATATTTTAAAAGCTTTTCAAATCATAAACTGGTTATCAGGTTTTTTAATAAATTTGAGGTTTCGAGCATCACTAAAGACACAGGAACAAGAGACATAACGTACGGTGCCAAATATTTCATGCATTATTTGAACGACATCAGTAAATACTGTAGATAGATTCTATTATTATTCCGGGAATTTTGGATTGGGCCTAAATTTTTACGGTTATTCGGTATTAGCGCTAGTTGGGATTTTCATCTAAAAAATTTAAGAGCGAGTAAAGACCGATTTTTTTATGACTTCAGTAAGAAACTACTTCAATCTCCGTTATGTAATAGAGGCCGTTTTAATAAAAGTTGCGGAAATTTAAAAAAAATGTTGCCTCCCAAAATACTACTGATGGCACCATGAAAGAGTGAACTGCTACAAAGGTTTTAATACGCAGAGATAGTAACATTCTTGCAACACGAGGTATCTGATTTGATATCTACAGTTTAACTGAGCATGGCTGCTTACATTTACATCCACCATAGCCGAACAGACGCCCCCACTTTAACCCAGGTTATACTGCTGGTTTAAAAAAGACCTAAAGTAATTTATTTCTATTTTTTTATGAAATAATAAAATGAGTATAAGTTAATGAAAAAGCAATAACCAAATAACCTACGTATTTATAATATGGACACGAATGATAGTTCCAGTGAAAGTTAAAAAAATAAGCTTGACACGTTTGGGGGATTGGACACGTTTGGGCGTTTATACAAATGACACGCTTTAGCGCTCTTTTACAACTAGACATGTTTTGCAGTTCAGTGACGTCGATGTGGACACGTTTGGGGGAATCGGACACGTTTGGGGGGAAGGACACGTTTCTGAGTGTTACATATATACCTTAATATAACACAAGGTACTTAGGTATATATGAAAAAAAAAATCTGAGACAAGTGCCTGTGACGGAAAGTCCATAAGTAAATGGCAAAATCAAAAGCTCATACACATCAAACGAATGGATAACAACTGTCATATTCCTGACTTGGTACAGGAATTTTCTCATGTAGAAAATGGTGGATTAAACGTGCAAAAAAAACAAACAACAATGAAAAACGCATGGTGCAGATATCCTAACTAGGTACTGACACAAACTGGTTCGTACTTTTAATATTAGAATCGTCCAACAAATCAGCTGTATTTAAAACATGTCGTTACTATTAATTCCAATAATTTCACTGCTGTCTTTTGCGACCACGGATTGCAGAATACTCTCATAATTCCTTGAATAACGATCACATTTTAAAAGTAAAGTTTGGACAACAACATTGTTTATGATGACTTATGACTGGCGACTGTAATTCCATCAAAATAAAAACTCGTCTTTTATTCAACAAATGCTAAATTTCCTCTGTATGGTCTTAAATGTAGATCGTGTCTTGCTGATCATTTTTGCGTATTTCAGTTTCTATCTATCTATTATAATTTTTAAGATGTAAGGCAAAAACACAAAAAATTGATAAAAATTGTCATCAAAGGGCAATAACTCTAATAAGGAGTCGACTGACGATTTCAACCATGCATACTTATTCGTAGATCTTGTCTTGCTGATTATTTTTGTAACTTAAAATTTCTCTTCGTCTAATATAGTTTTCAAGATAAAAGGCAAAAAAAAAAAAAAATGGTAACATTTGTCATTTAAGGGCAATAACTCCTATAAGAAGTCGCCTGACAGTTTATACGTCAATGAACAATTGGTAGAGCTCAACATTGTGAAAATGTTTGCCTTGTCAGAATTTCTCTATTTATAACAGTTTACAAAATAATAGATAAACTCGCATTTTACCCCTATGTTCTATTTTTGGCCATCTTGGTTGGCGGACGGGGTCATCGGACACATCTTTTAAACTAGATACCTCAATAATAATTAAGGCCAAGTTTGGTTAAATTAGACCCCGTAGTTTCAGAGGAGAAGATTTTTGTAAAATTTAACGACAACTACGACGGACGTCAAGTGATGAGAAAAGCTCACTTGTCCTTTCGGCCAGGTGAGCTAAAAACCATATGTTTTTCATAATATTTAAGATTAATCCCATTTCTAAATTATTAAAAAAGATCATGGTAACATTTTGATTGATTGACTTTCTGCACTATTGTGTTATTTCTTGACGGTCACTTTTTTTGGTTGACGAAACTGGAGTGCCCGGAGAGAACCACCGACGTTCGGTATGAAAACTGACAATCCTAGTCAATTTAGATAGGAATCGAGCGCACCTACCAAGTGAGAGATTCGAACTCACAACTTCAGTGTCCACAGGCTAGTGATAGCAGTTCAACTACTTAGACCACTTGGCCTACGGTCTCTGATAATATTTTGAATAAGACGAATGTGACAAATCTACTACCCCTGTCGCTTAATAGTGATATTGGTTCTTGAGTGGCACAGGAACTCAGTATACTTTCTGACCATACGAGTTTATCTATGATCTTTCGAAGGGTTATTGCTGTTTTAAATATTCAGTATTCAGTGTTTTGTGGACTGTTGTTTGTCTCTTTGTCTTTTAATTTTTGTCACGGTGTTGTTTGTCGTTCTTAAAATCATGATTTGGAATGCTCATTTAGCACTTTTTATATTTTTCACAAAGGTTGATGTTATCATGGTTATTGCAATAATTCATTATCACCCGTCTCTATTGTATTCATTCATAATTAAAAAATGAAACGAAAAATTCAAGGTGCATAACTCTAGAACAGTAAAAGTGACACCATCAAAATTCAAACTTGATCTGTATTTTGTGGTAATAAGCATTGTGTATAAGTGTCATAACATTTGGTTGAGGCTAACTTAAGTTAGAGAACGGAAACGAAAAATTCAGCAATTTTTCCATTTGTAAAGGGACATAACTGTAGAACGATTAAAGTGACACCACCACAATTCAAACTTGATCTGTATTTTGTGGTAATAAGCATTGTGTATAAGTTTCATAACATTTGGTAGAGGCAAACTAAAGTTAGAGAGAGGAAACGAAAAATTCAGCAATTTTTCCATTTGTAAAGGAGCATAACTCTAGAACGGTTAAAGTGACGCCATCAAAATTCAAATTTGATCTGTGTTTTGTGGTAATAAGCATTGGGTATAAGTTTCATAACATTTGGTTGAGGCAAACTTAAGTTAGAGAACGGAAACGAAAAATTCAGCAACTTTTCCATTTGTAAAGGGGCTAACTCTAGAACTGTTAAAGTGACGTCACCAAAATTCAAACTTGATCTGTGTTTTGTGGTAATAAGCATTGTGTATAAGTTTCATAACATTTGATTGAGGCTAACTTAAGTTAGAGAAGTGAAAAGAAAAGTTCAGCAATTTTTCCATTTGTAAAGGAGCATGACTCTAGAGCGGTTAAAGTGACGCCACCAAAATTCAAACTTGATCTGTGTTTTGTGGTAATAAGCATTGTGTATAAGTTTCATAATATTTGGTTGAGGCAAAATAAAGTAAGAGAACGGAAACCAACTTTAGGACGTACGTACGTTCGTACGTACAGACGGACAAGGGTAAAACTTAATGCCCCCTCCGCTACGGCGGGGGCATAAAAATTGGTGTAATTTCCAGAGCTTGGCATTGGATAGTGATGCTAGTCCAACGTTTATGGTGACTTCTGTATTTCTGTTATGACAAACTTGTGCTGATTGGTTCGTAGTCTTATTTGGCGTTTACCCTTTTACCAAGCAAATTCGGCAACCGTTTGCATGTGAGAAACAACCACTTCTTTATCGAATCATATAGCTCCAGGTAGTCATACATAGACACCCACAGGTTGAAAGGTTAATTGATTGATTGATTGATTGATTGATTGATCAGATTGATATGAAGAATGGAGAGATACATGTAGGTAAATGCACGTAACTGGATCAAGTGATTGGGTTGAAATTAAGAGTGACATTAAAAGACTTCAATGCATATAATACTGGTTATTGTCAGAAAATTTAACTGATCTGTCCATGACGAAGAGTTGTTTTGATGATTCTTTAACGAATATAGACACACAATTCAACTGCATAGCTCATAATTATATAGGATTTTTAGGACCAAGTGAGCATAAAACTTACATCTGTTAGTCCTATGGCTCGTTCAGCTTCATACACTGTTTTGCCACATCTAGGACAATGGGGACCAGGCCCGGAGCTTGTAGGTCCAACATGCTGATCCCTTGGACGATTACTATAAAAAAATAAAATATAATTTTAAAAGTAACAAATTCACAAACACTAAATCCGGTCTTGTTCCACTGTTTTATTATTGTTAAATAATAGACACTGGCTACGATTACCCGCAATAAGTAACAATAAGAAATACTTATTGTGACTTCCGAGACAGACTGCAGAAATGTGTTCCCGGACATATATCCTTCTTCAGCGATATCTCATTTTTTACAAGAACTTCTTCTATATAACTGCATACAATTTGCATCTTGGAACCGTTGAAGTTTATCATTAAAAGCTTGAAAGGATACAAACTTTTCACCGACCAAAAATTGGACATCTTGCTCATTCGTATCTATTATTAGAATAGTGAGTTGTTTTAATCGACCCCTTGGTAAAAGTGAGCGTCACATTGGTCAATACATCTGGTTTATTCATGTACTTGTTTAAAAAATTATTTAAAAAATTGTTCGCAAATCAAACATTTTTTTATTGGTGCCTGTCTGAACATATTTTACGGGTAACAATAACATTAACTACAAGTAACAATAAAAAATATATTATTTGTACCTGCAATTTCCGTATGAAATCGGGTCCTGCCCGTAAAACTTTTCGGCAATTAGTCTCGGAAGTAACAAGAATTATTTCTTATTGTTACTTTTTGCGGGTAATCGTAGCCAGTGCCTCAATAATAAAGTGTTTTGACACATACAAATATATATATATATAATCGTACACTATTGTATAAACTTTTATCTATACGTTGTAAGGATGTGAAAGAGAGGCGCACATACAAATCAATTTTAATTCAACACATCCAACTTATATCCTGTTAACTATCGATCTACTGTGGATTCATTTATTTTCGTGGATTGAGGAAATCTTGTCTTTTCGTCGATATTTAAATTCGTGGGTTTGCCAAAGTCTGTATACAATCCTTATAACAATGTGTACTTTTTGGAACATTTAAATTTGTGATTAACCTCCATGAATATTGATATCCCACAAATAAAATTAACAGTGTCTATTTCAACATTGATCACATCACGACTTGACACCGATCGTGTAGTAAAATCGATACCCTGTCGACGATTTGTCACCGATCGTGTGATAAAATGGATACCCAAAGCCTGTCGGATATAGTCTTACCTCATCTCACTGTCTTTGTTTCCAAACTGAGATCCAGTTTCCATACTGAGTGCACCCGCTCCCTGACCGAATCCGTAACCCTTTGGACCGAATTTTTTTCCGTGACATCCTTTACAATACACACGACCTTCATGCTCAGCTACAGTTGTGCTCTCTAACAACTTATTGCACAAACCTAAAACAACAACAACATATTAATGTTTTAATGGTGATAGATTGCACGTATTTTCATTTCTAGTGTAGTGTTGGAAATACATTTGCACGCCTTCTTTATAAACGTACAAAAATGATCTGCCACTGTCAAATAGTAAACCATTCGTTCATTTTTGCATACATGTAAGTTTATTATTTTATGTATATTACTTTTATTTGAGCGACTTACTTCATTACAATAAAAGGTTACATTGTTTGAATTTTGTTCAAATATTACTACATGTTTCAAATGTATTTTGAGATAATTTTAAACTACATTTTTGAATTGCAGTTTAGGTGAGATATTGTATGAAATTCTAAGTTTAAGGTGCATAAACAGTTTCGGGTACAATCCAGCTAACCTTAAATCTATACCAAAGCCAAAACAGAAAGAGTCAGTTAATATAACTAAAATATGCCGCATTCTTATTGAGTTAAGTACTTTTTTCCCAATTTTCGTTAAGTTTTGCTCTTTTCTCTAGCTGAAGATATTGATATTCACTGAGGTAAAATAAGGGAGGCGTTGAAGAACTTAATCGACCACATGATAATGTGTTTGGGCAAAGTATTATAGAATATCTCCTGTGGTTGTGTGTTTATATCAAATAAATAAATCCGTTCTTCCCTTAAGTGTTTTTGTGTAGATGTTAAGATATTTGCTAGTCTGGTAAATATTCACAACGCGTTTAGAATCTGGGCAATTTCAGGGTATTGATTTGTTGTTTATATACTAATCTTTGAAGACCCTATTGTGACCTCTTAGTTATAAAAAATAAGGAGATGTGGTATGACTGCCAATAAGATACTTTTCCACCAGAAACCAAATGACGTAGAATTATATAGGTAACCGTAAGGCCTTCAACAATGAGCAAAACACATGCCATATATCAAGCTATAAATGTGTTGGTTTTATTATGTTGTTCGGTTACTGTTTCATTGAACTATACATAAATCTTCATCACATGCTGAAATATCAGGTCGTTAGTTTTTGTTTGAATTGTTTAAAATTTGTCATTTCTGGGCCTTTTATAGCTGACTATGTGGTATGGGTTTTGCTCATTGTTGAAGACCGTACGGTGACCTATAGCTGTTAACTTCTATGTCATTGGGTCTCTGGTGGAGAGTTGTCTCATTGGCAATTATACCACATCTTCTTATTTTTATAATATTACCTTTCTGAATATATAGAATGTGTCGTGCATCTTATTTCCGATTTTTCCTCACTATGAAAAGGAATTGGTGATATACGATTGCACAAATGAAACAAACATTGTGTTTCATTTAAGAGAATTTACTCGAAATCGGCCTCGTTTAACGGATACAAAATTGAAAGATAATATAACCAAAGTGTAGATATTTTTATTTAAGAAATGGATGATTTGTAAATTCAGACGTTAACAAAATTTATTATTCCACTGTTTAAAAATATTGATAGTTTAATCAATATTTGATTGGTTGAGACTATCCCACGTGTCATTGAACAAATCTTCATATTCCATTCTGAGGATCATATTCCCCTCTGAAATATTGGGATAATTTACTTCGTGCGACGTTACGCGCGGTTAATGTACATAACGTTTTGAACTTCTTATTCTTCTTAAAATAGCGATAGCAAAAATCATTATCATGTTTAAATTTATTTCAGACGATAAAACAAAAAGACTTATAATTAAATTTTGATCCTTACTGTTTATCAATGGGTATGTCGTGTTTAGTTTGACTTACAAAAACAAGCGGATAAGAAAAAAAATGTATGCAAAATAGTATTTAATGTATTGATAGTAAACAAAGCATAGGCAGTGGAATAAAACATTCATTTCCCTTTGTCTCGGGATATATGAAGATTTGCTCACCTTCGAAAAATCATATTTCCCTCGGGCAGAGCCCTCGTGAAATATGAATATTCTTGGGTGAACAAATCTTCATATCTCCCTCCGGCACGGGAAATAAATGTATACAATACGATTTTGATGGAACATATAATATCGGGTTTGGTTTTCTCAATTTCGAGAGAACCGAGCCACTGTTCTTTAATATATCATTATGCTATTTTCATCACTTACCACATTTAAAGCACATTTTGTGCCATTTTTTACCGGCTCCTAACTTTTCTTCAGCTGCATACACAGCGTTTCCACAAGCCGGACAGATCGACCTTTCAGGTGGTTTGAAAGGCATTGTTTACTACAAAATAAATAATTGCCTTCAAAAAACGAGAGTTGATAACTTTATAAAACCACTAGTACCTAGAATCGATACTTCTGGTGATAATGTGCACATCTACCTTTCAGTAAATCGGTGAGCGATCTCTCGAAAATAGGATAATCATTTATATGCGTTGCCCGTCTGTTTTTACATTATGGCTGTCAGATCTAAACAATTAAAACCATTCCCTATCTTACTTTTTTTTAATCTACCATGATATGATTCTATCATTGTCTGTTTCCTTCTGTTAGTAATACCTGTATTTCGATGATGATGATACGTATTCGACTCATAAAAACCGAAAAGTAACAGTGAAATTGACCTAATATGTTTACGTACAAGATAGTAAACTTAAAACTAATAAGATAAATAGCTATAGATATAGTGTAATTTAGATCTACTTGATTTCTTGTTAATGTGATTAAATAAAGAATTTAGTTGCACTAGTTATCTATGTTCCAGTAGACATTGATGTTCTTTGTTAATTAATCTTGCAGTCTCGGCTGTATGTAAATTTGGCAGCGTCATGTAAATAACTAACTTCACATAGGTGACTCACATAATTTATCACGAACTGTGTATATACATTCCAAATTTTACATAAACAAATGTGAAAATACGTCATTCTTTTCGAACTATCATGTAGAAAATCAATTGAAAATCTCATAAATCATAATGTTCTACTATTGTTAATTAAGTATTAAATAAATGCTTTTTAAAGAATTGCTTTGTTAGATGAAAGATTGTTTTTTAAATCTAAAAATAAGTTTCGTAAAGTTGAGATAAATCATGGGCAGATTTAGGGGGGGGGGGGGGGGGGGGGGGGGGGGCTCATCTCCCCCTTATGGAACTTCATGTATGGTTAATGCATAGACTTTTTACAAGTCCCACTCCAAACGTTGCATAGTTTGGGCCCCCCTTTTTCAAAATAATAGATTCGCATCTGTAAATATTTACATTATATCTAAGATTCATTAGTTTTTTGTCTTTCAAGCAAATTGTTCAAAGACCATTGACTCTAACCATCAAATAATACCGAATCCAGATACGTTTATCTTGTTATCTTTCACCATATGAAAATATCAGGTAAACTAAGGACTGAAGTATGAACATTAAAGTTCTTTAAAATAATGTCACTAGGGCTTTCATGCTGTCATATATATAAATATTTCTAAAGATTCAAAGAAAAGTGATCAAGTTCATAACAATATGTTCATATTTTATTTTTAAAAGTGTTATGCTAAAATAATCTTTCCCGAAATCAGTAAGACAGTAAAGATTTTGCGACTTTTTTTTAGCTATTCAATAACCTTAATACAAATTATACTATCTACTCACCTCAGTGTTCGGTAACGTCAGTAGCGAAACAAGGCTGGGAATTTGGAATTCTTTGCACACGGGACAATCTTTATGAACTTCCACCCCAACATCTTTGTTTTCAGTTTTATTACAATTTTGCACACTTCACTTATAAGAGGTTCGTACAAAGGGGTTTTGAAAAAAATCTCACAAAGAGTTGTACACAACACCAGGAAACTAATCAAGATATGGTTATTTCCTCAATTGTAGATTAAAGGAAGCAAAACATATTTAGAAGAAGTCGATTAGTACACAAAATCAAGTGAAAAACCAAACTTTTTAATAGTTTTTTCTTCTTACAAAATCAAATAATTTTATTTCCTAATTAAAGGGCCCATCAGAACCTACATGATGCTTCAAACGGTAAACAAATTTCGACATAAATGGTTCCTGCATATTTGCCTATCTCGTCATCAGCGACAAAGAGTGAATGATATGATATAAACATTTGTAATTCAACGTAATATAATTTATAATCGGGACCACTTTCTTTTATCAATTGCGGTAGATAAATATCTAAATTGTAACTTAATTATGGAGTCTGTGCTGTAAGCTGAGGATACTTAATCTTCAAAGATTGATGAAAGCGGATTAAACGATGGATGGGATTAATTTTCTGCCAGCTGCGCGTACACTGATGATAGGGAAATACTACATAGATATTATTATAATTAACGTGTATTGTACTTAAGGGCAAAATTAACAAATTAATGTCGATTGCATGCATATTTGTTAGGTGACTATAAAATTATACTTTTAAAAAGCAGTTTCAAAATTATACTCTCAAAAAAACAATTTCACATAAATTGAAATCATCAGTCCTTTTAGTCGGATATCTAGAGAAATCAGTGTAAGATGACCAACGCCGATATGTTCAGTTTATCGTACTAGCCACACATTCCGTCCTGTTCCCCTTAGTTACGACATCACCGAATGTGACGTATTATAGGATTTATGCTTGCCATGATCAACACGACGGGTGTGACAAGTAGAGAAGGAAATGCTCACCCTTCCCGAACACCGTATAGTGAAACCCGGCTTCTGTTTTAAGATATTTTATATAGTAAATTATCATCTGAATAAATTGAAAGAGGTGTACACATTTGTTTTCATTTTATTGACCCAAAGAATAAATACAAATTAGTCAAGTCTGCTGGTCAGTTACTATATAATTATTTTACCGTTTTATATTTTTACAATATGAAATATTTTATAACAGGATCCGGGTTTCACAACACTTTAATTACATTACCTTTACATGTATTTTCATAAGAATACTAATTTCTTTTTTGGCTTATAGCAATCGAGATGCTTTCCAAAATTAGATTGTTTTCAACAAAATGCAAAAGTCATGACAGCACTGTTTCCCGTGATAACGCCAAAGCAAAGCATAGGAAAACAAACGAAACATTTGATATAATTCGTAATTTATGGTTGTAGCATAAACATGTAATGATAAGAATTGGATGCTTCTTTTGAAATTTTTATAGGGGTATAAAAGCGCTCATCGTGCGCTTTTTAAGTATCTGCTCTTCATTCAAAATTTGCTTTGGTCAACGCTTTTACACCCCAATTAAATGACCAAAAGAAGCATTCAATTCTTAAATAATATTTTGTTTATGCTGGTGAAATTTTGAATATTCATTTGTTTCATATCATAAATCAACCATCAATGTTTCGATTCGTTTTCAGATATTTACTATGATCCCAAACATGTTTTGCAATGCTCTAGTCTAAAAAAATACTCCATATAATTGGAACATTTTTTTCCAATGTGAGTAATATAACTCTGGCTAACCTCGATCATATATTCTTGATGGAAGATAAAACAATCAATGTTCCGAGTGATTTTAAAGTTTATGAACATTATATTTACAGAAAATGACCGCATCAATAATATTCCACCTCAGCACGGAAATGACCACTGTGCTGGTGATACCCTCAGGGACAAAACTTAAATCTCTCGCATCAAAACAGTGTGAAGGCCAAATCAAGAGACATACGAGACAATAATTTCATAAATTGCTGGACAAAATCAACATATTAAACTTTATAAAGATTAGCCATTTAAAAAAAATATTGATTCTCTCTTTCTTCGCAGTTGTTCAAATATCTTAATACGAGCACACCTGACAATACCAACACGCTTTTGTATGATTCGATTTATTTTTTTAATAAGTGTAAGTGTTCACTTTTTTCAATATTTGTTTTGTTTGTGTTGGTCATGGTGCTGTCTATCTTTCGTGTTGATAAATGGTTCGTGTTTTCATATAAAAAAATATCATTTAGTCATGTCTCAGGATTACACGTTGTAGCTTTATCGATGTTTTGCATATGAGGTAGTCAGCTTTAGATAAGTGGCAAATAAGAATCTTTTGTTCAATATAATGATTTACAGTAAAGGTCCACATCTTTTTTTTTATCTTTTTTTTACAGAACTTAATGGTAAAATAGAAATTAGTGAAATTGAGGCTATGGTTCCCATGAATCGCTCCATACCACCAATTATCATGTATATCTATGATTATACCTTCAACAGTAGAAAGGGTTCAAAGAAAATTTTCCGAAGTTGAATAGCTCGATACATACAACGACTCCCATAGGCGGACCAGAATGCTTGCAACTGAGTTATCCCCAAATTTGATTGGTTCGCTTTGCTCAATCTTCTATATCTTATTGTTATGTTTTATGACCATTGGATATTTTCGTTTTTGTTCTATTGCATTATATTGCAAGTCTCTGATTTCTCTAATTACCCCTTGTGTATGTTCAAATGTTTCTTTGGTGAATGTTCACCGCTCTGTTGTATAAATAACCCTTAAAATTTATTTATAAACAGTTCATTGACTCTTTGTTGTCAAACATTCCATAACTATATGGCTGTCAGATATTGATAATGATACATGAATCACAATCTATTTGTATAATGTACTGCAATGGTAAATATCTTCTTTTTGTTATTTGTGTCGTTGAGGTGCTTTATGATTGACTAGCTTATTATAGTATATCCCACATTTTCATTTTTATTCAAAATTAAGTAAATATATACCATGCATGATTTATAGTTGACCAGACCTGTAGCGATTTTCTCCTTCTTGATATATTATACAGTTTGCTTTTAAGATGTTTTTGTTGACAAAGTGAATAAATATACAATAGTTCATGTATATTGTCTCCTCATGCAGCAACAATAAGATAAAAATTGATTCGATTAATAATTGGTAACATCTGGATGTTGTATGTTTAAGGCATACCATCCTTAACGAAAATCGAATATCAAATTATACTTTGCCAATTAATATTTCTTGTATATCTATCCTTTGACATCAAGTAAAAAAAAAACGAAAAATGGTCGGATAAGATAATTGACCGGATTTTAAATATTATTATATAGATGAATGTGAGTTTAAAAAGTGTCTTCAACTTCTCATGGTCAGACATTGAAATATTTTCAGCCGTTGAATCTAGCCATGGTGTGAAAGAATTTGCCTTATAGAACACTAAAGGTAGTTATAACGATCTATATTTACCTGATCTTTTAGAACAGTAAAAGAGTAACAAAAAATGTGACATGAAATAAATGAACAATGGATAATTTTTTGTGGATTTGGTTTATTGCGAATTTACAAATTATTGTAGTTTTTTCAAAACCGCATTTTCGACCAAAAAGATTTACACAGTTCTCTATACAGTGCAGAGAGTATAATGATTTCACATGGGAATGTTTATGTCCACAAAGAAACGTCATCATGACATTGAAAAATTCAGACGACGCTTTTCTTGTATGTGGAATAGATTTGAAACTCTCGCTTCTATCAAAATCACCTCATTATCAGGCAAATCAGCAAGAACTAGCCTCAGACTATGATAGAATGGTACAACATGAGAGACCAACTAAGAACCGCTGGGGTGATCATGAGTATCATCGGTCGTCATCTTTTGAGGAGGGATATGATCCATTCAAAGACCCAAAAGGTTATAAGACGGGGAGTAATTGGAATGAGCTTGAACCGAACACTCAGGTTAAACATAATACCTATGGAAATAAAGAAGGATACGACAGATCCAGGCCTGGTTACAACAACATTATGGAACCACATGGTCGTCAATCTCAACGGTACTCCGGAGTAGATGATCGATATATGAATACTCAAGATGAAAAATTTCAAGATGAGCATCTTCAAAGTAAGGATGGAGAGAATGGATACAATCAAAACCCCAAAGTACATTTTGATAATCATAATACATTTCAAAGTAGTTATAATCTAAAGACAAACAACAATCCGCATCCAACAACGACAGATCTATTTCAAAGAAATCCTTTAGCTACCACTACTACTCCAGATGGTATGATTTCACAAGAAAAACTTGATGAAAACTTAAATCAAGTACTGTCCGGATACTCATCATCTGAATCTACTGAGAAAAACGATACACACACTGACAATGACGAACAGCGCATTCCAATCGGCGTGGATTCTAAAATGGAAGATACGTCACTGGAAAAGGAAGAAAATATCAATGAAGAAGTTCCAGAACATAATTCCGAGAATGGTGAATACGGGAAGAGACCGATTTATGAGCAAACACACGATACTACCACAAGAAGTGCATTAATTTCTAAGAAGGAAGTAACAATTATACCCATTTATACTACCGAGCCAATAAAGTCTACATTGCAACAGAGTTCGAAAACTGTGAAAATACAAACCGTATCTGAACAGAAAGTCACACTCTTGTCAGTGAAAACCACGGTGCCAAAAAATTATAAAACTGTAACAATGAAACCAACAATTAATAAGAATGGACGCACTATGACAGCGAAACCTGCAGTTCAACAGAAAACACACGAAGCAGCAGAAATCCATGACAATAAACAGAGTGATAAAACAGATGTCAATCAGAATGATAACAGGCCGGAGATTACAATTAACAAAGACACTAATGGTCAATCTTCGAGTTACAAAACTGACAGAAATATTGTAACGAAACAGAAAATGAACGTTATTGATGACACACAGGATAAAGGTGATTTTAGGGAAGACCCCGAAACTGTTCTAAAAGCAAATAACAACACCAATGATAAGTCAATACATGATTCAAGGT